TCTTCTACAAGGGCAAAATTCCACGACTTCTTGTTCGATTTCCTGTGCATGGCGCATCCGCACCTGAAATAATAATAGATGTGCTATTCTCTTAGAAAAGAAGCCGGAATTTTCCAATGAATACCATCCGGAGAATAGAATGAATATCATCGTCTCTTAAATATTATCCCTTCACGGCCACTTCCCGACTTCCAACGGTACACCGTTTCTGTGCAGCGGGCGAAAAGTTTGCAGGCTGGCGCTGTGCCGCTCTTCCCGACTTCATTTACTTGAGCGAAATAGCTCGCCTTCCCTCGATCCCGACTTGGCCGAGCGTTCTCTAATTCATAGTTGAAGATTTGCACTAACGAGTGGCACCCACATGGAGTACTCCAGCCTTCACTCTGCGCTTATCAGAGGGAAACGCTGCAGAAGACTAGCGCCGGCGAAATCATATATGGAAGTGATTGTACAGCCATAGTGAACGAACGTACAAGGAAGCTATATCTGTCACAAATTTTGGCGACGGGGACGATTCCAATTGGTTCTCGGAGTGTCGTTACTTGGAACTTCTTTTGACCTTCTCCATCCATGGCAATAGCATTTTTCATTTGTACTGGATCCTATTCTATTGATCGTTTTGCTTCTATTCTCCGAATTCGAACACTCTGACCTGATTCTTTCGAAGCGTCGCCCAATACGCGGCCGCTCAACGCGCACTTTTTTCCATGCGTTTCCCTAGGGGCCGTATGCTATCCTCCCCGAAGGGGTTGGGGGACGAAAAGTCCTTTAAATTTTCTCTGTCTTCCCATCTGGGATTGCCCTGAAAAGGACCTACATTTAATGTATGTATGTAGGTAAAAGTAAACATGCACTGAAAATGAAGAAACTATATCGTTCAAAACAAATAAATTTAAAGGAAACTTTGGATCACTTAGCTTCGGGGAAGCATAGCATACGGACCCTTGTTTCAACTCTGGCCTACCCTCGACCGTCTGTGGTTTTCGTTTGTTTCCCTTGGGAAACTGAATCTTCTGCCGCGAAACTTTGAACGATGCCTCTAGTGATCACAGCTAACATAATCACGTTAGGAAGGATGCGAAAGTTTTCCGCTGACAATTCTCTAGGTCGATAGATATTCCAAGCCGCTTTTCCTATACGTTTTCGAGGATTCAACATTGAAATGCATTAGAAATAATAAGCAATGTGAAGAGTTGTGAAAAAAGACAATAGTGGAACGCGTTTTTCCCCTCTGCATGCAATTAATTAGGGCGGAAGTGGTGTAGTGACAAGTGGCGCACGCTTACCACGCGAGCGGTCCGGGATCAAATCCTGGGTCGTGAGTCGCCCGGGCCAACCAAGCCTTCCATCCCTCCGGGGTCGGTTAATTGGTACCAGACTTGTCTGGGAGGATAAAAACACTGACTTGAACATCGGCTGGCCCCCGCAAGTCATTGTATAGGCCACATCGCATTCAAACGCCACTGCGAATGTACAAATGGAAGTAGAATGCGTGCCGCATCCCAAAAAGGGATTGATCAACGGCAAATGCTTTATCCTTTATCCTTTTTATCAATAGTGATCAAATTCAGAACACTTTCTTTTCTAGCTCGGATAGTGCAAGGTAGATAGCTTGAGGGCTGAAGGTAAAATAAAAGGACGGCAAAAGTGTCCTAGAGAGCAACGTACGCGACTTTCTCCTGAAACTAACCTGAATGGATAAGTATAATTTGCCCATGGATACTGGTGGCCCTGATTGGAATGAAAGCTTTCCATTCTCATATTCTCTTTTTTCCTGCATTGTTTGATTTTTTTTCTTCAGTTACCATTTTTCTTCTTGAATAATGTCAGGCTATTTTTATGAGTTGAGGTGCAAAATATCATTGTATAGCCACTGAACAGGCGGTTCAAAACTTTGCAATATGAAATGGAGTTGTTGCTCAGCGGTTCACTCCAAGATACTCGTTTCGACCAAAGATTTCCTAGTAATTACTGAAAATTCAACTACCGGATGAGGGATTGAATTAAAGGAATCTTCCACGGAAAAAGCTCCGCCCTCATTACCACAGAAAACGATACCTTAAAGGAATCTTCCACGGAAAGAGTGATCATTTTGTCTTGTGTGTAGGATTAGTATTATCGAAACTAACGCTTATGTTCCGTTCTTTTTGCTATGCTCATGAGGCTAGGGGCCTAAGGGGTATCGTTTTTCTGTGGTAATGGAGGCGGAGCTTTTTCCGCGGAAGATTCCTTTAAGGAGCGCGCTGTCGGCGCGACCCCCCCCCTTCCGAAGAAGCCCAACTCAATATCCCAGTCACGTATCACCGACTAATTGGCGTGTTTGTATAAACCGAGTTCCTGAGAAAGACAATCAAAGTCGATGTGTGATGTTTCCAATGATCAGACTCAGGTGGCGGCCCGTTGTCAATTGATCTTAGATATCTAACAAAGCAATGTCCTTCATCATGTAATCGAGAGTTTCAGCTAATTTTCCTTTAAAGTTACGGGTTCACAACTTCGATTTATCCTATTTTCATTCACTCAATATTGTGCTGTCCCGGAGCCTCATCAGCACCTAAATATTGTATAACACAGAGAGGCACCAAAATTTTATTTCAAAAGAATTCCAAAAGTTCACAAAATTTCGAAAATTCCAAAAAAATTCAAAAAGTTCCAAAAAGGGTAGCTGTACATTGGCTGTGGCAAACACATGTGGGTATCAATATAGGTGTAGGAAACCACCAAATCAATATACCAACTGTAATCAATGTATTTCAGGCCTGAAGAAGGTGTTATACACCGAAATATCGCGGAAGATTTCAAAGGAATTCTTTTTCAAACTTTCTTGCTTTTTGGAACTTTTGAATTTTTTGGAATTTTTGAATTTTGTGAACTTTTGGAATTCTTTTGAAAAAATTTTGGTGCCTCTCTGTGTTATACAATATTTAGTTCGTCCGTATTTCATTTTTCAAACGCTCATTGCAACTCACATTTCCAGTTTCGGAAAATTGTGTCAACATCATGAAATTAAGGTAGAAGATCTGGTCCACGTGGCCTTGGTGCAAGGCTTGAACTCTGAAAGCTGCTTGACGGGACCACAGTGAAATCGGAATCACGTGAGTGAAATAAGTTTTCTTGGCCATTTTTCTCATCTACATATGAGCAAAGAAATCGCACTAGCCTCCCGGCTGTTGAGGGCTGCGGAGGGCTTCTGCTAAAGTACCCAAAGAGGAAGGCAATGTTGAAAACTGTGAAATTACCGAGATTTTGACTATAATGTTCCTCGATTCCTTTCACATGAGTTCTATGCATACAGCTTGTGGCGAACAAAGCCTTGATTTGGGAGGATGTCAAGCCTAGGGATCGGGTTCCTTGCCTAAGCAAGGACAGAACAGCGAACCACATGTCTCAGTTCTTCGACCGTGTGAGCTCTGAACAATTCAAATCGTGGTCTGATTTTGTGTGAGAAGCAGACACATGGCGCGTCATCAAACAACAGAACTATCGCCCTCATTCTCCAATTTCTACTAGAGATAAACCTTACAAAAACCCTGGAAGGTTGAAAAACTGTAACTCAACTCTGCAGTATTTCCAGAAGTAAACCTTTTTGCAAATTCTTTATTAAAAGCTCAGATCCCGGTCGATTATTGATTGGTTCAGTCACAGTAATCTTCGAGGATCTCGCTGGCTGCTTCGAGAATACGTTTCACTCTGTCCACATTAGTAGAAGCCCTCCCTATCGTCGTCATCATCATCGTTGGTGTTGCTGTCGTCGTCAATATCGTCATCGTTTGAGCTGAAAGTTATAGCGATAGATTAGCTTGACGTGTGCAAAAGTTACCAGACCCTGAGACGGCGCGGATCAACGGTGAAAGAGGAAGATGTGCCATTTTTACCGGTTTTTTGGCACCTGAATGGCAGGGTGAATATTGCTTGAGGATTCCTCAACGGCACGTCGAGGATTTTCGCCTGATCCTTTACGTTCTCGCGCGCGGATATTCACTCTCGCCACCCGCGAGCCGTCTGTGCTCTCCGCGCGTACATTCACTATCGGCTCTACTCTCGCACAGCAGAGAGCGATGGTCGAGGAATTCCTCGACCGTTATTCACCCTGCCTCACGGGTACTGTGGCTCAGAAGGAGAGCAGTACTTTTTTACTAAGCCGAATTCGCTAAGCGTAGCTTTTCAAACCCTATGAAAACAATTGCGATGTGCATTTCCTTTTTCCTTTCCAATTTTTTCCGCACCACAGCAAGACCTCACCCCTATTTTGATTCACTAATGTAAGGCTATACCCCTTCCTTTTCACTTTGCTTCAATGATTCTGCCCTTTTTTGCCGTGCCGCTTCTTCAGCGTCCTTGTTACTCAATCACTTTTGGTGCTTCTAAGCCCAAGGCTGCATATAGCAGTGGGATGACTTAAAATTCGTAAATAATTATGGATTTCTTAGAAATTTCTTCCTTTTCCGATTTGCCTGTTTGAGGTAAGCAAACCAGCCCTTTTGGCGTTTCGGCTGGGACCGTATGCTGAATGTTGGGGAGGGGATGGGGTCCCCAACGGTCGACGGTTTACTTCAACTCGGTTGGTACGATAGGAGAGTACTGACGCAAGTGGTGCAGCTGGTCCAGCAGCTCCGCCAGAAGGGCTGGTTTGCTCACCCCAGGACTAAGCCTTGGAGAGGGGACGGACCCGTCCTCTCTTTTAAGGCTTAGTTCTGAGGTAAGCACCAAATTGTGGCGGTTCTAAGGACCGAGTTGAAGTGGTCCGTCCACCGTCGGGGACTCCATCCCCTCCCCAACATTCAGCATACGGTCCCAGCCGAAGCGCCAAAAGGGCTGGTTTGCTTACGTCAGAAAGAAAGCGCGCGCTCGTCAATACATCCTGTATCTCGCGCTCGCTCCCATTATGTGAGGGTTGCCCTCATCTAATGGCTCAACCACCTGTTCCGTTTTCCGCTGAGGAAAGCGATAGTTCATGTCAGCAAAGAGAAGCAGCAAGCTTTTGGCAATCCCTGTTTGGCCTAGGCGATCCAAAATATAGAAATTCTCACGTCATCGTTGAGGCCGTCGATGTCGTCATCAAAGTCCGTGTCCTCAGTGCAGTCACTCCTGTCGTACAAATTCTGCAATTGATGGTAAAATGACTACCCAATAAACAACTATTCCGTGTCTTTAGGTCCCGATAGACTTACATTAGCAGCATTCAAACGTCGAATATTCTCTGCAAGTTGTTGTAATGTCTCCCTGTCGTAGTCAAGCCGTTGCACATTCCGAAGGGATGTGATTGCCGTCCTGTAATAGCAACCTATCGCGAAAAGCTCTACCTAGGTAGTCACCCAACGCTTTTTTCCAAAAATAAGATCTTAACGTACCTGAATAGGTTAGTGTTTCTTTCATTTTGACTGTCAGCTATCATTTCGTTCAAGCGGTCAATAGTGTTGTTGGTTGCGTTCTATAAGAGGCTGTATTTGGAGCGTATTGGTCATGAATTATTCTCTTTGTGGAGTGCGCCACGCATTCGGTTTCCATTCGGAACCGTAGTGAGCTTTGGATGCAATTTGGCTCATACAAAGAGTTGCGGTGCAAATCGAAGTGCAACTCGGTATTTAAATCCTCTCTAGCGGACCTCATGCAGCTTGACTGACTTCGAGGAATCTGCACGGGACGACCTCCAGGCCACGTATGCGTTATAAGTGATGCCGTATTTGTCCATGATCGTCGTCTTTTCGAAAAAAATGTCTGTCACATTTTTGGATCTTCAACTATGTGGTGTCGTTCAACAAGTGTTCTAGCCTCAGGCGCTAAAATTGCCTCGATTGAGCCGCACCGTGTTTCTAACGTCCATAATATTACTCAACTATTACCATGTACTGAGTTGAAGAATAAGCGAGAGCGTGGTCCGATAATGGCCCATACTTTGCAAGGCTGAGCTTTGTGGGACGGCGTGACCCTATATTGAATCACGGCGCCCTTGTCAGAAATCACTACTTCAGCAATCTAGTCAGGAAAGGAAAAATACACTCCAAAAGGTAATTCGAGAATCGTAACCAGCCTGGATCAGCTCAGCCTTTTGTGTCTCAGGAACTGAGGGCGCTATGCTTTTCTTCAGGTAAACTCAGCCGCATCTGCGATATTGAGAGGAAGTTGAGTGCTTGGCACAACCCAACAAAATTAGAGATCGGTTGGATAGGAGAATATTTTAGAAAAGATGATAAATTGATGTGCGTCCTTCAACCCAACTACTTGTGAAGGCCAAATTTTTCATTTTCTATGACTTTCACCGTACCTGAAGATTTCTCGCTGTTGGCACGGGTGTAGGCCGTGATGTTGACTCATTAGAATCATTGGTATCTGAAGTTGTTGTAGGACGTGATGTGGATTCAGTCGATTCATTGGAATCTGAAATGGCTTCTTCATTCGGATGTATTGTTAGTTGGTCAGCCTTCTGACGAACCCTTTTCGCCTTCATTGACTAATGCTTTTAACCGTGGGAGGATGTAAAATTCATATTATGAGGTACGTTTTGCCTTTATAAAATTAGCATTTTATTATTTTTTCAATTAAGATCAAAGGGTTCCTGAGCTTCATTTTGTGATAATTTCTTTGTGATCAATTCCGGAAACTCTTCAAACAGCTTTATGGGACGACGTTTCGGGCCTTAAGCCCTTCCTCAGGTCTACAAATACAACATGCTAATTTCACATCAACAATCGATCTAGATGAGACAATTACAATACATTGAAAAACGAAAAGCCTTAACAACTGACTGACCAAACTTAGGAAAAACTGGGGATTGAAAAGGGCGGGTTGGTCCCAGAAGCTTCAGATATTGCTGCAGATGATGAAGATGGATAGGACCACGTTGAAGGGCACACCTCAAGCTGCCTTCACTCGAAATGAAATGCGGACAGTCAGCGCGAGGCGTTGGCCGAAGGGCTGGAGCGCTAGTTTACTTCACACTTGCCGATTAGTATATGTTCAGTATATGTGTTCAGGTAGCTTTCGTTTTTCTCATCTCAATATGTAGCGAGCAATTCCATAGCCGTTCGCCATAATGAGATGTAATTGTTGTTAATTTTTTTTATTAATTTTCATTCTGTTAATTAAGCAAGTAGTTCTGACCTGTTGTTTGTGCAAATGCACGTGAAAGGAAAAGTGCTGTGACAAGGAAGGGAAGCATCGATTTCTCTGATTTTCGCCTTCACCAAGCATGACTTTATAGAGGAAAAATTAGCATTCTATGTAACCAATACAGGATTACCAACACGAATAGATTATTCCACTGGGAAATTCCAAACTTTGTATCGGCATTGAGACTTATTCGTGTTATGTACTACTCTGTTGTGATCAAACAACAGCCTGGTGAGAGCGCACTAGAAGTGAGCTCGAGTAAGGACTTTTCTTGCCTAAAGCCACTATTCTGTGCTTGGCCGACATTATCATTATGTGATCCAATGCCACGATGGTTTCAAAGGGCACCGTAAGCGTGACATTTCCAAAATAATCGGCGCTGAGCGGTTCTCTGTTCACCCTTTTATCTCTACCTGCTCCCACAAAATATTAGGTTGGAAAGAAAGTTCTGCGACACTCTTTCTAAAATTTTCTTTTTTTCTGAAAAATTCATAGGTAACATTTATGACTAACAAATGGTAGAGCATTCTCGAGGCTTTAATCCACGAGGTGGATATAAGTGCTGCAGTCAGTAGTTATCCAAGAAAATTCAAAAAACCTCGACCACTAGTAAATCCATACTCCGAGTCACTGTCTAGTACAAATGTCTCCATAACTATGGATTCGTGTCAAAGACCAACACTATCTGCAATAGCTTCAATAGGCATGTCGTTCACCGCTACAGCGTGTTTCACCTTTACCAGCGCTTTCGATCTTTTGATATTTTTATAAGAAGCCAGCAGCGTCCCTACACTCCATTACAGGTAGGGCTCTTACAGAAGCTCCACTACAATTCTTCGTTATGGGCACCATTGTGTAGGTAGAGGTCTAGGCTGCGGAACTCCAGAAGCTGGCCGAGGCAGCTCGTCAAGAGCCCTCGTACCGCGACAATATTCATTTCTTTCATGACATTGCGAATCACCATGATCCGAAATGAGCCCGGTAAGAAATTCTGGAGCTGCGGCAAGATTTCTTACCTCTCTTAGCGTATTCCCCTGGTCGAGCTATAAATGACTGCCACCTATCCTGGACCTTAAATCATCATCTTGATGACGAAATAATTAGACGATCAACTCCAACTCGAAAGTGAGGTCGCCTCCTTTCTCGACCCGCACTCCGCTGGGTTTTGGAAAAGGAGCATCAAGAAATTTTCTGAGCGTTGAAGACAAGTGGTGGACACTCATGGTAGATATATGACCGGTCAGGAGTTGTAAACAAAAAAGATAAAATTAAAATCAAAAATTTGAAAAAGTGTTGCAGGACTTTCTTTCCAACCTAATAATAATTATCATGTAAAGGAATCTGAATGCTGAAGAAGGAGTTCAAAAAAGGAAAAGCGGTAAGAATTCCATTCCATTTCTGCACATTTGTATAGCCGTGCCACAACAGTATCCTCTTTGTGGTGTCCGCCGTCTCAACTAACTAAACACGGCGTAAACTGCAAGTACCAAGGTATCTCCCGAAGCCGTCGGGATAATTCCCGTAGTCGAGAGTTGGGGATGAATAGTGCAGGCGTCGGGATATACCCGACGACCTCAACAGCAAGCCTAGAACGTCTCGAGCGCTATTTCCCCAAGCGCCCTATGCAACAAACCCCGTTTGGGATATAATACCACAACAATCCTTCGCAGCTTGTATCATAGACGGCCAAGAACAATCGACTGAAGGACCTAGTTGAGAGGGGCGAGATCAAAACGCACCATACTAAGACGCCGAGATTTGCTCGGTGAGATGGCCGTGGCGAGAGACACAGCGCTGAGAGGAGAGGGTAAACGCGACAAATTCGCGCGCGAAGGACGCAGACGCCACATATGCCGCGACTGATGAAGTGGCAGCGCGGGCAGCGCACAATACGTAAGCCTGGTGCTCCACGCCCGCACAACTATCAAAGTCGCTAGCCAACAGTGTCAGCGGCTCCTGCGCTTGGGCGTCCCACTTTCTCACTTTGGGAGGGGCCACCTCTTAACCTAATCCCGACCCCTTGCCTTTAACCCTTTGACTACTGGTGGTACACATGTGTACCACTTCCGTAGTCAAAGGCACTACCACAGTTTTGGGACTTATTGAGATTGGAGTGCCCGCTTGATGGCGGAATTGTGCACATATAGAAATTCTATAATTTTTTACTCGCAAATCGTTGCAAACCAAAGTGAGTGACTCTGGTAAATTATTAAGGCATATTGTACCGCATTGGGCAGAACAATATGCCTTATTACACAGCTTTCAAAATAGTAATTTTCAAGGCTCTAACACGCTTGTTAATCGGGCTGGTGATTTTGGTGTCTCCCTACATTTGTGTCAGGTACAAACATATGCCAACGAATGGTGAAGGATGTCGCATCTTATCAGCCGAACCAGTAAGAGGACTAGGAGTAAGAAGACTACTACAGATGACGACACAGACTTCGGAGCAGTAGAAGGCGACGAAACTCTTTAGAGCGGAAACACCCGGTCAGAGCGCTTCTACAGGGTGCGGCTTGCAATTCTACCAAGGTGTGGTGGGGTTGCAGGTAAAATTCTACCAGACATTGGCTTTGTTCCACGAATGAGGCATGGGAGCTGTGTATTCGTAATTGTTAATTAAGTTGCCAATTTACATTTCAAAAATACTCATTCGAGCGGTGATGGTGTGGTGACAAGAGGGGCCGCTACCGCGCGCATAGTCCCTGGATCAAAATCCCAGGTCAAATCCAGCGTACGTCAGCCAAATTTCTATAGGTGATTAGTTGTTGCAAGGAGCGATAGTTTTACATAAAGCACTAATTTACTTTTAAAAAGGTTCTTTCCTGAGGGGTAAACCCGTTCTAGGCTATGACGCAGCCTAGCTCGTTTCCTGTGGTGGTTCCTATTCAATTTTCAAGCTATATGGGTATAAGGCTGCTGATTCCTGGAATTGAACTCATATAGTGTTCAAAATGTCTTTTTCTTAGCTCCCTTCCTTTAAAAATTACCGGGCTACTAACAACGCATCTTTTTTGGCTCATTTTTAGCCACGAGGGACTATGAAACTAATGTGGCGCTCTTTGAATGGGTGAACTTCGC